GGTGTGTCCCGCGCGCTCATATGACCATAAGCAGTTGTGAGCGCCGTAAAACCCTATACTAAACAAACAAACAAACAATTAATTTTAATAACTCTCAAAGAGCAATGATTGACGTCGGACATGAAGTCAATGTTTATGTTTATCAGAGAAAACAAAACTAGGAAAAGGTAATTCTTGATCTAGAACCTGGGATTGAGGCGCTCTTTTCGTTCGTGTGATGATTTGAACATGAAGGTTTTCTAAGTTCATTGTACTTTTATTTGATAATTGAATAGATAGTTGTATCAAATGAAAATTGGCTTGTTCCTTGTTAAGCTCTTGTCTACTGACATAAATGGTGTTGTCCTTTGATCAATTTGTCTATATAATGTAGCAATGAACAGGGATTAAGTTACATTATGAGAAGATGCAATGTTATACATTTATGTTTATTATAAATAATTTTTGCCCAAATAAATGATAAATTTAGTCATCAAACATCGTCAGCAGTAAAATTCCATATTGGTCGCCGTCATTTTTAACTCAGTTATTGCCAAGGTCATTTTTCGCTTTGTGAAATCTTAATAAAACAGTGAGTGGTGCTTAAAATTAATTAACTAGTGTCAACTTTCTGATGAGTAAAAAAGTTAAAATAATAAATTATTTAACAACTGGACTTTAGTACTTGAAATGAAGCTGTCTGTATTTCTTAGAGAGATGCAAAACGAGTGACTGGCTTTTTCTCGCTCCACAATAACTAGAATCGTGAAAATCTAATGGCTTGTGCAATCAAATTAATTACTGTGTTTTATGGCAGTGACGATATAACCCATGAAAAATTACATGTACTTTACTTTCTGTTTTTAAAAATCTTAACACAGTTTTCTCTCTTTCTTTTCAATTTTTATGAAGGATGCTGCCATTCTCAGTCCATATTCATTCCTGGAGGTCGCGTTTTCGTATGGCCTGGTATTCAGAAACTGCAGCGGTGAGTTTAGTTTTCTTTTTCTTACTCTTTGTTGTAGTGGTCGCAAATCTTTTGATTTGGATTCATTTATTTTGTTGTAAAGACCGTTGTCTGTATCATTTTCTTACAATGGTAACAATAGGGAAGTGCTGTCATTTGTTTACACTCTCACTTACTGTCTCACTGATGCCTCAGGTAAACAAGGTTGGTGGGTGGCCATTGCTCTCATGTGGTTTGTTTCTTTTTATACGATGCAGCCTCTCTATAACAACCTTCGATATAACGACATCCTCTATGTATATATATAGCTACATCGTGCCCAGGTCCCGATTTTTTCCTTATATATCATTAGTAATTTCTGGTTTCCTCTCTATAACGACATATTTTTCTGGTCCTGACGATGTAGTTTATAGAGAGACTGCACTGTAATTTAAATAATGCATCTATTGTCCTTAATATTCTCCAAGTAACAGCACACCTCTAACCCATGGCATTTATAATGACTTCTTTAATGTGTTGAAAATGCCATAATAATATAAAAATGCTCTTTTTAAAACCAAAAGGTGTGCTCAAGGTAGAGAGCAGTGGACACCACACTTGTCAGTACCTGACCACCTCCCCTAGCTGCCACACTTTTGACGTCATTTGTTTGTAGATCCACAAATGGCGATGTTTGTTTCGTGAACTTACAACCTCTAGTTTTTTGCCAGTTTGATTGAAAGTGTTCATCGCTTGCTCATCAACTTTATTTTAACAGTCTGTCATTTGTCTCAAATCTCTCTTGTGGTCTACATTTTAAAAAAACTGTTCTCAATCATTACCAGTTACCAGTGGGTAGTTGGCAGGTGCTCTGGTGTTGTTTGCTCCTTCTTTCCTATCAAACATCTATCTGTCGTTTTTTTATCTCCCCTCCTTCTTTTTTGTGTATGTTTCTCTCTTGTAACACAGAATCTATTTGTGGGTGGTTGGCGGGTGCTCTGGTGTGGTTTGCTCCTTCTTTCCTATCAAACATCTATCGTCCTTATCTCCCCTTCTTCTTTTTTATGTTTGTTACTCTCTTGTAACACCTCTAATCTTCTGGCGCTCATATGACCTTATGCAGTTGCGAGCGCCGTAAAACCTCTACTAAAACTAAAAAAATAATCTATTCTCCAGCACTTATATGACCTTATTGTGTTGCAAGTGCCGTAAAACTCTTACTAAAACTAAAAATCCTTAACAAACCACATTCCCCATAGTGACCCAGCCATGTCATGTGTTGCAAATATATATCTCATCCACTTTTAACTCTGTGTGTGTGAGTGTTTGTGTGTATGCGTGTGTGTGTGTGTGTGTGAGGGGGTGTGTGTGTGTGAATTGGTGTGTTGTGTGTGTGTGTGTTTCATTTTTCACAAATTCTCATCTGCTTTAACTGTGTTTGTGTTATGTGTCTTAAACATCTCTCATCTATTTAAATTATGATGTGTCACATGTCTCAAACGTGCGTGTCCCCATGTGTCTCAAATGTGTGTGTTATCGTATCATGTGTCTCAAACGTGCGTGTCATCATGTGTCTCAAAGTGCGTGTCATCACGTCTCAAACGTGTGTGTCATCTTGTGTCATGACATGTCTCAAACGTGCGTGTCATCATGTGTCTCAAGTGTGCGATGTGTTATGTTCTCATACGTGCGTGTCATCAATGTGTCTCAAAACCCCCCAAAGCATGAGCCTGAACACGATGACACTGACCATCGAGAGTCCCAATGTGTACACCAAGCACGGTGTGGCCATCTCTGTCACGGGCATAGCTCAAGTAAGTCGACACGAGGCGGGCCGCCCCCCAACACGACGCCTCTCTTCCAACATGTCGTTGGCCTCTTCACACGAGCACTGCCACTCTCTCTCTCTCTAGCAAGTTTTCAATTTAAAAGTGTCGCCAGTATTGGGATCTGTTTTAGGAAGGTTTTACTGCGCTCGCAATTGCATAAGGTCATATGAGCGCCACTATTGAGGTCTTATAAATGCAGTTGCAAATGCTGTAGAAAGCGAAAGAAAAGAAAGAGTTGCTATGTAAATTTCTTACCAAACTAAAACTGAATTTCTGGTGGGTGTTACAAGTAATGACAGCTTACACATTCGATACTCACTACCTTGAAGTTTCATCCTATATGAAAAAAAATCGGTCGGAATTGTAAAAGTTTTTCATGAAATCATATCACACAATACTGAATGATGACTTGATTTAATTATAAATCAGAAATTGCTCCAGGAAGTATGATTAGGTTGAAGAATGTGATAAATCAAATGTAAATTGTGCTCTTTATTTGTATTATGAAATAGTCTTTTTGTGTAGAATAGGTGAGGTAGATGGAGGGTGGGGGGGGGATTTTTCGGTTAAACATGAACGACGCAGATGGATATTTTATATATGTATGGCAGTCGTGTGATGAGGGTGACGATATGGTGAATGGAGGGTTCGTGATGTGACGTGATATGTGTATTGAGTTGGCCTGGCCTGTCAGAGAAGCACGCTGTACGTGGGTGTGGCACTCGTTGTTACGTGTTGTGGGAGCTGTGGATTCAGGCTTGCTTTGGACTTGGACATAGATTTCTGTTATAGATATTATATAGACATATATTATACATCATGTATCATCGTTTTTGGGCTTTTGTGCTTTTGTCTTTTATTATTTTATATATTATATTTGGTCGTTTAAGGACAAGTGGGCTTCTAACCCAGATTTCAGGGGTTTCCAGAAATCTTGACCAACATCAGAAGTGGGCATTGCCCTACCTATAGGAGAAGTTTGGTTTCTTTGCTGTGTATATTTGTTTGGTTATAGAGAAAACTCTCCTTGTCTTTTGAAGAAACTGAACAAGGGGCAAAAACTTACCTTTTATTTTCTCATTTACCTTTTATTTTCTCAAAACAGCATATTTCGGGAAGGCCCCTTGTGCTTAAAAGCGGCCATTTATATTTCGGTTTTGCGCTTTGTCTTTTAAATCTCATTGTTTCTCATGAAAAGACATTTATATGCTGTAGAGTTGAGTACATGCCATGATGGTGATGTTTGTTATATTTGTTGTCTAGTGGGTATTATTATTTATTATTTATTATTTTATTTGTGTGATAGTATTGTATATAGTTCTGTTGATTGCTATAATTTATAATAGAATTCTTAATAATGGGTGGTTGGTTGGTGCTGTGGTGTGTTTTGCTCCTTCTTTCCTATCAGATACTGTTGTAAACCTATCATTCTTATTTCCCTTCCCTCTTTTCTTTGTATGTTACTGTGGTGTAACACCTCTATTCTTCGGCTCTTACATGAAGCCTTTTTGTGTTGCAAATGCTGTAAAACTTTTGCTAAAACTAATATAATAAAAAGAAAATTCTGATTCCTCCAAATGATGACAGTATTGGGTATTGGTTTATATTATAAGATTGATGGGTAGTTAGTTGGTGTTCTGGTGTGGTTTTGCTCCTTAAGTAGTTCTTTTATATCAGACATATACCACCCTTATCTCTCCTCCTTCTTTTCTGTGAGCAAATTTCTCGTAACACTTTTAATTTTTGGCACTTATGTGACTTGATTTGGGTTGCAAGTGCCGTAAAACTCTTTATTAAATTAAAACTCAACCTACCGGATTGTTACTCTTGTTTTTTGTTCACATCTGTGTTTTTCAACAGTTCTAGTAATAGGACTCATTGTAAATAATTACGAGACTTAATAAAAGAAAAGAAATAGCCTCCCTATTCTGGAATCAAACTCATGTCCTCTGTGTGGAACAGACAAGCCACCCCCCCCACCACCCCCCGGGGGCAGTGCCACTGACTGAAGTGTCTGTAGGCCATTCCCAAATGGGGGATATTAACATGTTCTTATTCACAGCAGAATTGTAAATGGGCTGATTCATCAATGTCATGCTCATAGCTGTGCCGGCACTGCATGCAACAGGGAACTGCTGCTTTTTCTTTCCTAATCCTTACTATCGTCATTTTCCTCTACTTCTTTTGTATGTTTGTCACTCTCTTGTGAACTGCTATTTCCGGGGTGCCTTGATAGTCGAAGCAGACTTTGTGCTGTTGAAGCTAGAGAGGTGAGCAGAGTAAGTCTGATTTCCTGTAAAGACTTCTCTGTTGACTTCCACCCCTTGGCGCTCATATGACCTTATGCAGTTGCGAGCGCAGTAAAAACTCCACTAAAACTAACACTAGATAGGGGCCTAGCTATACATAAATGCGGACAGAGGAGTGTATAAGTGAATACATTTGGTGGTTACACGTTGTTAGATCACTGATGGGGTGAAAGTGCTCTCATGACAGGGAGGAAAAAAGGAAGTAATTCTGTGTTGCTATGCAGGGCAGATAACGCCGCTAGATTTTCCCTGACGTTTGTGTGCATGGCCGAGTTTTTGTGATTGTTACCATGGTTTGGGCTTGTCTCTTTGAGGGGAAGGCTGATAATTGGTTATTGATAATGAGAAATATGGATTTTTCACTCTCAGCTGTTTACTTTGGCTACGCCATGGGCTGGACAAGTGGAGTATTGATGGGGGGGGGGGGGGGGGGCCAAGATTTTCTGATAGAGACCTCGTAGCAAAAATGTTTGTAAAAAAGGTAATGAGAAAATGTGGTAGATAGAAGATGGTCCAATTTACAAGTGGGTGGTTGGCGGGTGCTCTGGTGTGGTTTGCTTGTTCTTTCCTATCAAACGTCTATCGTCTTATTTTCCCCTCCTTCTTTTTTATGTTTGTTACCCTCTTGTAATAAATCTCTAATCTTCGGCACCTATATGACCCTATTGTGGTGCAAGTGCCATAGTGGGTGGTTGGCGCGTGCTCTGGTGTGGTTTGCTTCTTTCCTATGAAACATCTATCGTCCTTATCTCCCCTTCTTCTTTTTTATGTTTGTTACTCTCTTGTAACTCTTCTAATCTTCTGGCGCTCATATGACCTTATGCAGTTGCGAGCGCCGTAAAAACCTCTACTGAAACTAAACTAAACTAACAAGTGCCGTAGAACTCTTACTAAAACTAAATTAACCAATTTACCCAATAGTCATCCTAGTCTCAACTTACTTACTTTCTCGGTTAGTTTGGGGATAAAGAGATTGTTTTATTCTAAGTATGAGAGGACAGGAAGTTGTGAGGGTAGCTGTTTCTTTTCAGTTTCTGGCTGATGGTAATGGTCAGAGGCCCCCCCCCCCCCCCCCCCTTTACCCCCTTACACACCTAGTGCATGTGTTTAGTCCTTACGTATTTTGGTTTGCTTCATTTTGAGTACGTCTATCGTTTGATTTCCATTTTTGTTTGTTGTCAAAGATCATCCCAGGGGTACTATGAGACTTTAAAAAAAAATTCTTGAAGTGAAACTTCACATTTTTTTCTCTGTTAACAAGAAAGGTAATTTAAAAAAATAATTATTTGTTTCAATTGCATGTCTCCAAATGTTGCTGCGAGCTTTGCTGGAGATCCCAGAAGTATAAAGTGGTAGGCAGGTGCTCTAGTGTGGTGTGTTCCTCCTTCTCTATCAAACATCTATCGTCCTTATAGTCTCTCTTTCTTCTCTATCAAACATCTATCGTCCTTATAGTCTCTCCTCCTTCTCTATCAAACATCTATCGTCCTTATAGTCTCTCCTCCTTCTCTATCAAACATCTATCGTCCTTATAGTCTCTCCTCCTCTATCAAACATCTATCGTCCTTATAGTCTCTCCTCCTTCTCTATCAAACATCTATCGTCCGTATAGTCTCTCTTTCTTCTCTATCAAACATCTATCGTCCTTATAGTCTCTCTTTCTTCTCTATCAAATATCTACCGTCCTTATAGTCTCTCCTCCTTGTCTTCTCTGTATGTTACTCAAGTTACTCTTCTTGTAGTCTTCAGCACTTATATGACCTTATTGTGTTGCAGGAGCCGTAAAACTTTTCTCACTAAAGTAAAGAAAATCCTAGAAGTGGTAGTGATTTATGACAATTTATTGTCAGGTTCCTGTATGTTCAGTTGTGGGTGCTAAGCCTCGCCACTCTCGGTATGGGGGCTCGCGTGGCCTACAGGTTAAGGTGTTCGCCTCTCATTCAAAGGTCCCGGATTCGCATTCGGGTAGCGACGGAAAATTTTCTTCTCTAAAATTGTCTCCTTTCACCTCCTCTCGGGTGCAAGTTACGCTCATTAAAGATCCCTTAGTTGTCTAAAATCGATAAAAGTAGGCTTCGGCGGCTACCTGGGCAAAATTCAAAATTTCCTGCCAACTGAAAATGTTTAATGTGTCCCTCGCACTCATATGACCGCATGCAGTTGGGAGCGCAGTAAAGCAAAACAAAAAACAAAAACCATTGGGTGACATGACAACACAAGTGAAACGTTGCTAGTTGCGTGTTGCATGCATCTGTCATCAAACCCCTGTGATGGTCTGGTTCAACGCAGCACTCCGCCTGCCTGGGTTTTGTGTTGCTTGTTTTTTTTGGGGGGGGGTTGTTTTTGGTTTGTTTTTGGTTTGTTTTTGTGTTTTTGTGTTGATTTTGCTGTTGTACTTAGAGGCTGGCCTGCTGGCCTCTCCACTTGCCGTTTTCAGACTGTCCCTGAACACTATGACGCTGACTATCGAAAGTCCAAACGTGTACACCCAGATGGGAGTGGCTATTTCCGTGACGGGCATCGCACAGGTGAGACAGGACGCGGCCGGGAGCACACAGCCACGACGTCTGGCTATATTTAGTAACACTCTTATAAATGTCTGTCCATGGCTCTCTCAACACGACGAACTGGGTCATGATAGTAGTATTTGTCAGGGTTACAAACAACTAGTTATGTTTGCTGTATATACTTTTTTTGGGGGGGGGGGGTTAAAATTTCAGGGACTTGAGTTTGAACCTCACAAAAACACATGGACTTCTCAGTGTGTCAGACTCCCGTCATATCGCGACCCCAGTGCTTTCTTGTCCCGTCTCCATTTTGTATTATAACAGTGAAAAGTGGGTGGTTGGCGGGTGCTCTGGTTTGGTTTGCTTCTTCTTTTCTATCAAACATCTATCGTCCTTATCTCCCCTTCTTCTTTTTTGTTTGTTACTCTCTTGTAACACCTTTAATCTTCTGGCGCTCATATGATCTTATGCAGTTGCGAGCGCTGTAAAACCTCTACGAAAACTAAACTAAATAGTGAAAACAATTCCTAACAAAGAGTGAGCTTAAGATAAAGAAGAAGTTACTTTTTCTATATTAAAAAAAAATGGAGACACGACAAGGGACAAAAAAGCACGGAGGTCGCCGTTATATATGTCAGTTTTCACAATGGCGTATGGTATGGCAGAGTCTTACACTGAGCAGAAACATGAATTGTTAAAAACAAGGACGGGGACACATGTATTGAAGGGAGTGGAGCACTGTCGTTGGGGGTTTGGGGGGTGGATTCTCAGGACACGTTGATGTGTCTGTCGGTGGAAAAAAGCGACATATGCATGGACAAGTTTTAGGAAGACACTTAAGAGATGAGTGCACACCAGGTGAGATATGTAAAGCCGCTCAGAAAAGGACAGGAGTGCAAAATTTCCCACTGAGCAGATTAGATTATTGTAAAGATGCCTGAATCATTCGAATTTGGCTCATAGTGTAGTGATTTTTATTCAATGTAATACTAATCTAGATCAAGAAAAGAATTGAAAATCATGAAAGAGTAAGCTCAGATTGGAGAAAAATGTTATGATGCTGAAACAAGAGTTAAAAATAGTGTAAGAATAAGCTAGCTGAGTTTGGTAGAGTGAAATGGGATTAAAAAAAAGAAATGGGAAGTAGATCAGAGAGTTATGATGGTATTTTGTCCTTAGTTGCGAGCCTCCCCCTCCCCCC